TCTATTCTTGCGAAAGTTTTCTTAGACATGAATTTTGGCCTATTGTATTATATATAATTTATATTGTGCATTTATTAGCGCGTTGGTATATATGTAACTGTCCATATAAAAGTTAATTAAAATAAGGCTATTATTGTTGTGATTTAATGAAGAAAATTTTTATTACATTTCTAATTTATTTTACATTATCACTATTACCAGGAATTTATATCATTAATTGCTATTGCCAATGCAACAGATATATCTGTCTGTTCACATTCTGTCTCCTCTGTCTCTTCTTCCCTATCTTCACCAATTTCATCATCTAAATCATCCCGCATAAGTGTATCTGTTTCCTTTTCAATCCTTTTTAAAAATGCATTTACATTTTCATAGATACCATTTTTATAAAAATTTTTATAATAAACACACCTTTTATCATAGCAAGCCGAATGATAACCATGGCCATAGACAAGTATTACACTATCATCATCCATTTGAAGTTTACAATAGTCACATAATCCTAATTGTAGTGGATGTGATATGCTGTATGCTGTTGGTAAATGACGCAAATCTACTTCTTTTCCTAAGGTAGCTAGTTTATATCCCTTTAGTTTCTTTTTTTCCATTGCTATATACCGGAATGCTATTGTTTTGATTGCAAAATATATTATGAAAATATTTTAACAAAAAAAGGCTTGTTTTATCGGATAGAAAATCGAGTGTAGATGGGTTATATAGATAATGACGAGATTTACAATATGTATCTTTAAACATAGGATCGTGATCCGCTATTTATTATTAAAAAAAAAAAATTAATTTTAATAATTTTACAATTATTACATATTGGTATTTACCAATAGCATATGCCTGTTTTATAATATTTTTAACAGTTGCATTTGAAGATATATTTGCTCTTATTCGACTATGAGTATTTTCAACATAATAATCGTTAAAACATTATAGGTATTTTTTGATTGTATCAGCAAATGGATGACAGTTATCCTGCCAATAAAAAAGATCTGATAAGAATACAAGAGGAGCTTTATTGTAATTTTTTCTTTTCCATCGTAAGGCAAAAGTCCAGATACGAAATACAGTTTCTACATATTTTTCAAATGATCCAGATCTAAATAAAATTGCATAAATATCAAGTATAGATGGAATTAAATTATTCAATAAATCAATTGTTGTTCGATATTTAACATCTTTGCATGTTGAATCAAATTTTTGCATAATTTTATTTTTAATTTTAAGCCAACCACTTCGTGCAAGTTTTAGAAGAAGGTTGATTCGCCATGGTTTAGGTTTTTTTGCTAATTTTTTATGTTCACCAAATACAAAATGAAACATTTGTTCAAAAAAAGAATAATAAATTATCATAACATGCTTCCTACTATTAAGAGAAAGATGAAGTGGTCCTAGCATTGGTATAAATGAATTGATTTCCTTTGGAATAGCAGATTGCAGTCCTGATATATGCAAATGCGTCAATGCTTTTCTAATAAACAATTGACCAGGCCAATCTGCAACAACAGGTGCAACTTGATTTTCTAAATGCTTTGTTTTTTTATTTATAGTTAAAATGATTTGTAATGCTTTCAAATAATCTTGCATTAAATGCAAATTCTGTTCCTTAAGCCCAATAAATTTAAGCCCATTCATTGATCTCTCTTCCTTTCGTTCAGCAATAGCGTCATTATAAATGTGAACAGTTAAAAGTTCAATACGATCAAAAGCATTGATACTCTGGTGTCCTTGTAAAGTCCAAAGATCTGTATATGAAATATCAAATAATCCAGTATATTTATTAAGTAAATGCCAGCAAATTCTTGGAGCTTCAATATTATTTGGATTATGGATAGATACACCATTAAATATGAGTGGTACTGCAGAACATTCTACAACAGGTTTTGCAACACATGTAGTAAAATGCTTTGCTATTGATGTTGATACTGTATCCGGCCTTCGCTTTTTATGAATAGCATGATAATCATCTATGTTATATATATGTAAACAATTTCCCTATTATAAAAAAAAAATTTGATTTTTATAAAATATTTCTAAGTATTTTTTTAAAATAAAAGCTTACCTGTTCTAAAAAATGGTTTTCAATTTTAATTATATGATTTATTTGAAT